CCTGTTGAGGTAGCTGTCGACTCTCGTCCTGCTGGGGGTGCTGAGCCTGGGGGTGCGGAGCTTTGGGGTACTGAGCCTGGGGGTGCGGAGCTTGGGGGTACTGAGCCTGGGGGTGCTGAGCCTGGGGGTGCTGAGCCGCAGAGTCCGGAGTCTGGGGGTTCTGCGTCTGGAGGTCCTGAGCCTGAGAGTCCTACACCTGGAGGAGCCCTCTCCTCGGAGCAGCTGCGTGAGTGGTACTTACAGTACTGCAGCCTCAGGAGAGGTACCTCTGGGGCCAGGCGTACTACTCGGACTGGTGCTAGTGCTTCTCCTCCTAGCCGGGAGCTCCCCTCCCGTGAGCGGATCCGTGAGTGGTACGTGCGCCGCTGCACTCTTCGGAGTGGCGCGCCTGGTGTCGCGGACCCCGCTGCTGCCGTTGGAGCTGCTGCTGGTGCTGAGGACCCGGGCGTTGGAGCTGCTGCTGGTGCTGAGGACCCCGGCGTTGGAGCTGCTGCTGGTACTGAGGACCCGGGCGTTGGAGCTACTGCTGGTTCTGAGGACCCTGGCGCTGGTGCTGCTGCTGCTGGTGCTGTGGAGTCGGGCGTTGGAGCTGCTGCTGGTGCTGAGGACCCGGGAGTTGGAGCTGCTGCTGTTGCTGAGGACCCTGGTGCTGGTGTCTCTGCTGGTTCTGGAGTCGCTGCCCGACACCGGCCGTACTTCGTTCCGCTCCTTCAGCAGGTTCTTGGTCTCCCGCCTTCTCCCGGTCCTCCTCCTCCCTTCGAGTGTCCACAGCCTGTCCAGTCACAGTTACAGTTACAGCCCGCCTCCCCACTGCCTGCTCCTTCTCCCTACACTGGTCCTACTGGAGGTCTTGCTGAGCGTCGTGAGCCTGCGTCTCGCCCTGCGTCGCCTGTCCGTGCTGCTCGCACTAGTGGTCGTGGTTCGCGTCAGCGTCCTCCTCCTGTCCCTGGCACGCACCGGATGTCTCTGCGTCCGTCCACTACTCCTCTGCGTGCCCCTTTGCCTTCTCCTCCTGAGTCCTCTCTTCCTGCTCTTCCTGACCCGGAGTCGGACTCTCTTCGTGCTGCCAGTCCTACTGTCACGCGTCTCCTTGCTACTGTTGTCACTGACCCTTCCTTTGAGTCCACTGCTGCGTCTGCCCTAGTTACTGAGCTCGTCGACTTTGCCTCTCGCTGTCGTCTAGACTACGCTGCTAGTCTTGTCACTGAGTCTGAGTCTGTCTGTCCTCCGTCCGTCGGGGGTGAGTGTGCCCTTGGCACGGACGTCCTTGAGGACAGGCAGGAGGAGTTCCAGTGCTTGGCTGCTGCTTCACCTCATCTCGTGTCCGTACTGCTTACCCCTGAGGGAGACCCGGATGCACTTGACATCCCGACTCCGCGCTCTTACGCGGAGGCGATAGAGGGTCCCTACTCTTCTCAGTGGCAGGCAGCTATGGATGCAGAGATGGCTTCCTGGAAGTCCACAGGCACCTACGTTGACGCTGTCCCCCCTCCTGGGGCGAACATCGTCAGTGGCATGTGGATTTTCAGGGTGAAGCGGCCGCCGGGTTCTCCGCCTGTCTTCAAGGCGCGTTACGTGGCTCGTGGCTTCAGTCAGCGGCAGGGAGTTGACTACTTTCAGACCTTCTCTCCCACCCCGAAGATGACCACTCTTCGGGTACTGCTGCACGTAGCTGCTCACCGTGACTACGAGCTACACTCTCTTGACTTCAGCACTGCTTTCCTGCAGGGCAGCCTGCACGAGGAGATCTGGCTGCGCCGCCCACTTGGCTTCACTGGGACTTTTCCTCCTGGCACCCAGTGGAGCCTCCGGCGGCCAGTCTACGGTCTCCGCCAGGCACCGCGTGAGTGGCACGACACACTGAGGACTACGCTTGCGGCTCTTGGGTTTGCTCCCTCTACTGCCGACCCGTCGCTGTTTCTACGCACCGACACTTCTCTGCCGCCGTTCTACATCCTCGTGTACGTCGACGACTTGGTCTTTGCCACAGCTGACACTGCTGGACTCGCCTACGTGAAGTCCGAGCTGCAGAAGAGACACTCGTGCACAGACCTGGGTGAACTGCGCAGCTACCTTGGCTTGCAGATCACCCGGGACAGAGCACGCCGCACCATCACCCTGACTCAGTCACACATGGTGCAGCAGGTCCTTCAGCGCTTCGGCTTCACGTACTCCTCGCCTCAGGCCACTCCTCTGCCTACTCGCCACTCGCTCTCAGCTCTGCCTTCGGATGAGTCCGTAGAGTCGAGTGGCCCGTACCCAGAGCTTGTTGGCTGCCTCATGTACCTGATGACCTGCACGCGACCTGACCTTGCATACCCTCTTAGCATTCTCGCACGCTATGTTGCTCCTGGGAGACACCGAACAGAGCACATGGCTGCAGCGAAGAGGGTGTTGCGCTACTTGTGCAGTACGTCGGGCATGGGGCTAGTGCTTGGAGGGCGGAGTCCAGTGGTCCTCACTGGTCACGCAGACGCTTCTTGGGCTGACGACCAGGCTACGCAGCGGTCGTCACAGGGTTACACCTTCAGCCTTGGTTCCGACTCTGTTTCGTGGCGGGCTACTCGCTCGACTTCTGTTCTCGGCTCCAGTTGTGAGGCTGAGATCTACGCAGGGGCCATGGCTGCTCAGGAGCTTCGCTGGCTTACCTACCTGCTGACTGACCTTGGAGAGCCGCCTCGTTCTCCTCCAGTCCTGTACGTAGACAACAAGGCCATGCTGGCCTTGTGTCGAGAGCAGAGACTGGAGCACAGAACAAAGCACATTGCTCTCCGCTACTTCCTTGCTCGTGAGCTACAGCAGCGTGGTCAGTTGCGGCTTACGTACGTGGCCTCTGAGGCCAACACTGCTGATGTCTTCACCAAGGCACTTGCGCCTTGTGATCATCAGCGCTTCTGTACCCAGCTGGGTCTTGTGCCTGTCTTGCCTCACTTGCTCACCTCTTGACCTTGGTTGTACTGTTACATATATATGTACCTGCTCTTGCTTGTCTAGCCTTATATATATATGTACTCCTACATGTGAACTGGCCTTGTGGCCTTGAACTTGTGCTCGGAATGTGTGGTGACTTTGTGATCCACCCTGAGCTTGCTTTGCCTTGCTTTACTTGACTGGTCTTGTGACCCCTAGTTCTCCCCCACTTCGCCTATGGGGGTGTGTCAAACATTATATATGTTGTGCTTGTTTAGGCTACAGTGGGTTAGTCTATAGGGGGTACACAATTCTAGGGTTAGGTACTTGTACTCATTTCACTGTTAGTTCCATCATTCCTGTTTGTTCATCTCAACAGATCTATCACAATGTATGCGAGAGACTATAAGTTTCTCTTGACTGCCTTTCCACTCTGCCATCAATTTTGGTTGCTGTAGAGTTACTTGTTGTCAATTACCAAATGCTCTAGTTATGGTTTTCCTGACTTATAGCATCCATGTTGTTGGGTGTACTGTTAATTCTTGTTGTAAACTGTTGTGTAATTTCGAGGGTGTTTTTACTCGGTTTAAAGCCTCTTTTGCACGACGTTAGTTTCGAGGGGATGAATTAGAGGGCATCGGCAGTACAACAACTTGGAATGTGTAAGAACTGGCCGAGTACCACCTCGATCTGGGAGCGCGCAGGTGATTTGGGGTACGATTTCGTAACGACCCCGACACAATCACCACCTCGATCTGGGAGCGCGCAGGTGATTTGGGGTACGTTTTCGTAACGACCCCGACACAATCTACACATAATACACGTTCGGGTTACGCCCTCCGAAATGGGCAGTGGGCTTCAGAATTGCTAGGTATAAATCTCAGAGAGAGGCCATTTATTCATTTTGCACCCCCTCATTCACTTTTCCTTGTTCTAGTCTTCAGTTCTGCGAGTCAGCCACCCACTTTCCGTTCCGATGGAGCCCTCGATGGAGCTCGAGGGGGTTGGTCTGCGGGTGCGGCTGTCACGTTTAGAGTTCGGAAACATTCGCGACCAGGTTGATGAGTGGTCCGAGAACATCCTCAACTTCGTGTTGCTGTAAGCTGTTTTTGAACGACATGTGTTGTAATAGATGTTGACAGTTCAAAATAAATAGTGTCTCGAAATTGTAGCCCGAGTTAGAGCTCCAACCGCTATTCATGGTAAATACTCTGTTTACTGTGTCTGTGTTAGAGAAGTGTCCTTCGCATCCGTACTCTGTCGCGATAGGCTCTTTGCCTAGCATGTGTGCTCCGCATGATTCATTAACTATCGAGTTCATGTTCCTCTACCAATGTGCTAGCTGAATCGAGCGTTTGTCTATAAATGATGGGCAGGATGCTTGCAAAAAAAAGGCTGACCGCGGAGCAGTTTTCGAAGGTCGAAATTGTCCCCATGAGAAAGGTCAACGTCGCCAGGGCGAAAGTCCCTGTGGAACCTATGGGTCCTGACAGACTTACTGGTCTCCTTGGGAAGCAGCTCTGCGTATTTCCGCTGTGGTCCAGGTGAGTTTGAGTTTCGAAAAGTTCTTTCGAAAACGTTGTTCCTCGAAAGGTTACTCGTTTGTTCGATATCGGATTCTGTATGTCTATCATTTCGCCCCACCACCCCTTGCAGTATCAGTGCCGACCCTCGGGCGCGCTGTAGCCTCTTTCTTCTGGTACGCCCCGATAGTCTGTGGGACAAACCGAAGTCACCGGTTCAGACGCGTCTCCTGCATTTCGACCCGAAAGCGTGTTCTCCGACACACAAGCACGCTGTTCTCGCCCAACAGATTGTCCAGTTGGTATCCGTATTTTATGGTTCATCTGTGCGTGTTGCAGACTTAACGGCGCTGACTGAATTCGTCGAAACAACACGTTTTTCGCAGGTGGCTGGAGGTGCAGCTCTTGATGGAGTACTCAAGAGGGCGACCGCTCTCGCCCTCGGAAGGGGAGACGAAGGAAGTTTTTCGAAACATTCGGGCCCGCATCAAAAGCGGGTGGAAGCTCGACAAAACGGCGGTAAGTTAACTGTACGAATATTGAGACGTTTTTTTCGGAAAAGGACAGATGCTTACTCGATTCCACATCCGTTTCGTGCAGAAGCTAACTCAGTCAGTCGGCCAGAGGGAGGTTGGTTCAGGCCTTCACGTGGCCTATCAGTGGTGCAAGATACTGGATCATTTCGACGAGATTCTGCAGCAGGGGACGAGAGACGAGAAATTCCTCGTCATGGGAACCCCACAGTACCGTCGAGAGCATGTTCTGGCAGAGATACTAAAAGACTGTGATACGTATTTCGCTAAAGTAGAACGTGGTGAAATTGCTGGAGAGGAAGAGAAGGTGGACAACTTCGACCAACATGGGCCAGTCGCAGAGGACACAGGTCCCCCGCCAGAGATTGATGCGGAAATAGTCGCTGTGGGTGCGCTGATTGCTGACGGCGGTCGAATTGGTCTGGCCAACGAGCGTCAGAGCGTCACGGATGTGGAGCGTCAGCTGATGGATACAGAGGAACCACCCGTTCAGAGGGAGAGTGCGCGCGAAATCTTGCGTGGAATGAGGGAGACGCAGCAGAGGGCAGCAAAGGAGGCCATCCAGCAGAGGGGGGAGAAGGAGATGATAGAGGATCAGATGATGGAGAATGATCAACAGGAACAGTGTCAGGGTTTGGAAGACGGGCAGGGGAGTCTGAATGTCGTAGGCGAATTGGAGAAAGAGGTGTAGAGGTCGGAACTGGAGACTAGGGTGGTGTATCAGAGAAGCGAGGCACGAACAAAGAAGATGTATGATCTGGGGCGGGAGGCACGCGAGAGGGTGGAGGCGAATGAGAGGGAGGAACAGAGGCGTTTGGACCGGGAAATAGAGGAGAAGCGTCCTCGGGAGGAGGAAGATCAGGAGAGGGAGGAAGAGAGGAAGCTGGAGCGCGAAAAGGGGGAGAAGCGGCATGAGGAAGAGCGGCAAAGGGAGGATGATAGGAAGGCGGAGCGCGAAAATCTGGGGAAGCGGCAAAGGGAGGAGGAAGAGCGGAAGGAGGAGGAGAAGAAGGTGGAGCGCGAAAAGGAGGAGAAGCGGCAGCGGGAGGAGCAAGCGCAAAAGACGGAGGAGGAACAGGTTGAGCGCGAAAAAGAGGAGAAGCGGCAGAGGGAGGAGGAAGCGCGGAAGCGGGAGGAGGAACAGGTTGAGCACGAAAAAAAGGAGAGGTGGCAGAAGGAGGTGGAAGAGCGGCATAGGGAGGGTGAGAGAAAGGCGGAGCGCGAAAAGGAGGAGAAGCGACAGAGGGAGGAGGATGAGCGGAAGGAGGAGGAAAAGAAGCTGGAGCGCGAAAAGGAGGAGAAGCGGCAGCGCGAGGAGGAAGAGCATAAGAGGGAGGAGGAAAAGAAGGCGGAGCGCGAAAAGGAGAAGCGGCAGAGGGAGGAGGAAGCGCGGAAGACGAAGGAGGAACAGGTTGAGCGCAAAAAAGAGGAGAAGCGGCAGAGGGAGGAGGAAGCGCGGAAGAGGGAGGAGGAACATGTTGAGCGCGAAAAAGAGGAGAGGTTGCAGAGGGAGGTGGAAGAGCGACAGAGGGAGGATGAGAGAAAGGCGGAGCGCGAAAAGGAGGAGAAGCGACAGAGGGAGGAGGATCAGCGTAAGGAGGAGGAAAAGAAGCTGGAGCGCGAAAAGGAGGAGAAGCGGCAGCGCGAGGCGGAAGAGCATAAGAGGGAGGAGGAAAAGAAGGTGGAGCGCGAAAAGGAGGAGAAGCGGCTGAGGGAGGAGCAAGCGCGGAAGACGGAGGAGGAACAGGCTGAGCGCGAAAAAGAGGAGAAGCGGCAGAGGGAGGAGGAAGCGCGGAAGGAGGAAAAGCGGCAGCGGGAGGAGGAAGAGCAGAAGAGGGAGGAGGAGAAAAAGGTGGAGCGCGAAAAGGAGGAGAAGCGGCAGAGGGAGGAGGAAGCGCGGAAGAGGGAGGAGGAACAGGTTGAGCGCGAAAAAGAGGAGAAGCAGCAGAGGGAGGAGGAAGCGCGGAAGAGGGAGGAGGATCAGATAGAGCGCGAAAAAGAGGAGAGGTGGCAGAGGGAGGTGGAAGAGCGACAGAGGGTTTATGAGAGAAAGGCGGAGCGCAAAAAGGAGGAGAATCTTCTCTGGATTGTCTTCGTTGTACTTATCGACCTGAGATGATAGGACAGAGAGAAGAGTGAGCTCTGACACGTGTAACAAAATCAGGCAACAGCTACAAGCTGGCTACTTAAGGGATACCTCTGCCAACTGAGATTCGAGGCGCGGGAAGATGAACTTCTTGAAGAGGGCCTGCAACTCCTCCCACTCCTTAGGGTCGTCAAGCTCGGCGTGCGCTCTGCCAATGTAGTAATCTCCCGGTTCCCCACTGAATCCGGCCATCATCAACACAGGCCAAAACGGAATTCCCACGACGTAGGATTTTCGCATCTCGCCCTGCTCCCAGCCTCCGAGGGCGTTGATGTCGGGGTCGGGACAGCGATTGTCGCTCAGGCCTTGGGCTCCCGACCGGCGAAACGCGTGGGTCTTTTTGCTCATCTTCTAGGGCGGTTTAGCTACGTCGTTCATCACCCAATTAATCCAGTTGTTGTGAGTCACGTACGGAAGCTCTTCCTGCAGTTGTTCCCTTCCGTGCCTCAATGGGAAAAAAATGTGCTTCTTCGACCACCGGAGTGGGTCGGTGAAGTCCAGGGGCGGAACGATGTCCGTGCCGAATCGAATCGGCACGAGGTCGTAGATGAAATGAATCCACAAAAAAAGGCCACCAACACCGCAGAGCGCGAAGTTCATGTGCCGGGCCAAGAATTGGTGGGTCAGCCTGTTGGTCGAATTCGTCTTGGATTTTCGAGAGGCGAAAACAATTACAGGGAGATCCTTCTGGCGATCGGGGACGGCCGTGCTGCTACGCGTATGCCGGACAAACATGTTGGCGAAACGAAGAGCACGAATGCTGCATCCCCTCCCCAACATTTGGTGTGCGAGCTGAATCATCACCTGCACCGCAAAACACCGCCAGAGACTTTCTGATAGTGCAACCCTGGCCCTCTGGTACAACGTTTTCATGTCCCTCAGAAGGTGCTTTTCGTGCAGATCCGCGTACTGCTCCGCCGTGTAGCAATCGTCTAGAGAGTTTCTGTACTGATATATACCCTCCCTACAGAGATCCACATGGAACACAATTAGGCAGTGAAATTTCGATGAACTGAGTGCCCAAAAGGTGTGTCAATACTCACGCAACCTGCTTGTCGTGCAGCTGTTTCAGCTTGAGCTTCATGTACTCGCGCGCTTCGCTGATGTACTCATCCGCTTCGGACTTTGGGTAGTTGTAGAGACGAGATTCCAGTCTGCCCAGGAAGCCCAAGGCGCTCATCTTTGCCTTCATCATGCTCGGCGTACTAGGGATGGGCTCCTTCCCAGCCACCACTTCTTCGCCTCTCCGCATCATTTCGGCCTGCGCCGGGGTTTCGTCTGCCATGTACTGCAAGTATCTCTGAATCCTCCATCCAGAAACACGGGGCCCGTGCAGATAAGCTTCCTCGGGTTCCACACTTGACCACGCCTCTTTTTTGTCGTCCTCCAAATGGAGTCCAACCTCGTCTGGTGTAACGGTACTTAGACGCTCCTCCTTTGGAACCTCTCTGTCTTGGGCAGCGTTGACATGAACAAGATGACCCACCACTTGTAGTGCTGCCAATACAGGATGTATTCCTTTCTGGTTTTCGGCGAGATATAATCGAAAGGGGTCTTTGCGCGGCGCTTCCTGCTGCCCATGTCGGCCTGTTTCCGAACTGACGCTTGCGTAGCTGATGCTGTCCCATCTGCATTTCTCTGAGACGCAGCATGTGATTCCCGACCCTGTGCATTTCCCTGTGGCGCAGCCTGTGGTTCTTGCCCCTCTGCATTTCCCACGGGCGCAGCCTGCGATTCGAGCCCATGTGCACTTCCATGTGGTGATGCCTGTGATTCTGGGCCGTTGACATTGCCGCAAAACGCATCCCCAAAAATATTTCGACTGGTGGCGTTATCTTCAGAGGTTAGCATTTCCCTCCCATTTCGGGCTTCGGCTAGCATTTCCCTCCCATTCCTTCTCCCACAAGGCTCCGTGGGGGTCGTCGTCATTTTCCGCGAGGTTAATCCACCCCCCCGAACGCTGGCCGCCCCTCGGAATTGCGCCCTCAGCATCGTTTCCCTCGACCCCGACTTGAGGGTTCGAGGACGGAAATTCCGCCGGAGCATCCACGAACACTTCCCCCTCAACTGCCGGCGCGAATTCCGTGTCATAATCGCAGTCCCCGGTTAGATCAAACGGGGCATCGGGCAGTTGGCAGTCTGGAAGATCTACAAACGTCTCGTTGTCCTCGAAAGCCGCACTAAGAAAATTACTCGTACCTCCATCGACCTCCATCACGGTGTAGCTGTTTCAGAGGACTGTATGCTTCACATGATCCGCGAAACCTGTCCTGAATCTCTTTTTTAAGACGCGCGAAATCTAAAACGAATCGTACAGAATGGGATGGACTGCCAACGAACCCAGGAGAATGTTGTGCTGAAAAGAGTCTCGCGTTCGGAGTTGTTTCGGGGAGATAATAAGTATGAATGTGACCCTCTGGAGTGGAGTATAACGATGCTCTGAAACGAATGACCTATTCAGAGTTGTTTGTATCTCGAAAATGACCTGGGCGTGTGACCCTCTGGAGTGGAGTATAACGATGCTCTAAAACGAATGACCTATTCAGAGTTGTTTGTATCTCGAAAATGACCTGGGCGTGCAGAGTGCAAACTATTTTTCGCGGGTTCAACCTTGCGAGTGTGTGTATTTCAGAAAGAAGCAATGTTTCATGCCATGTTGGGTTGAAGGTACGGAAGCAAGCACGGCTGATGACCTCAAGAAAAATGTGTTGAACCTTCAAGATGTCAACAAGAAATGACCTCAAGGGAGCTATTTAAGCATTTTGGGACTCAGCCATATGGACATGAGCACCACCCCCTCTGACTGCATCCCCGCTTCCCGCCTCAACTTCTCTAGATCTGGTCGCCAGACCCCAGATCTGGTGTTCTTCCCGCCTGTGTCAGAGCACCCGATTGGCTCCTCCACAAGTACGTAACTCTGAGCCACGCCCCTCCCGCAGAGGACGAGTAAGTCTGCCACGTGGACCACGGTTGGCGCGAAATCGGAAAATTGTTAATACACCGGATTCTTAATATAGTACCACAACATGGGTCGTGGCCAAGTTCGAGTTATTACAAAACAAGCTTAAAATGGCACTGCTGCTTTTACGAAACTGTTAAAAGTACCTCGCCGCGATCGAAAAAACCGGAAAAAAACCAGTCTTCTTGTGGTACCAAAAGTATTTTACGTTTCCGAATTCCGGGTTTCTAGTGTGCTTCAAAAAGGAAATTTACGGACGATTCGACTAGTAGCGTAATAACGGGTGTACAAAAAACAGTAGTTTTTCAATATGACACAAAAACTGCTGGTTTTCGTAGTCATGTCATAACGCAAAATGCAACTGTGTTGGATTAGTGCGTTAGAAAACCACTTTGTCGCGATCGAAAAAAATCGACCTACTCGTATGTCTATTTGCGAATGGCCGATGTACACATTGCGTTTCAGAACACCGAATTAGGCGGACACACTCGCAAACAAAAAGTCATCTGACAAGCGGAAGATGATGTAATCTCGTAAGACGTGTGCAAATTAACAAAAACCACTGTAAACATACTTCTAAATCGAACTTCAGTACCGAGTTTCTCGATACAGGGGATTTTGCAAACTGGTTGCGACGTGGTCACATATCACATCGCAACCGTTTGCGCGAAATCTGGACGTCAATTGACGTCTGCACACTGACGCTCGCGAGAGCACGTGCTTCGCCAACTGATTTGCACGCACGAATCTGTTCGGGCAGGCCTCTGTTTCACGGGCATGCCGAGCCTAGCCCGTGGGGCAGTGGGGGTTGTCTTGCTCGGCGCAAGCTTGCGCCGCTTCCGCGTGGGTCTAGTCGAGCTCGACCAGAAGAGCTCGACCTGCCTTTTTTCTCTGGCAAATCCGGTCGACCTGCGCCCAAGACAATATAACTTCCCAGCAGCAGCTCTCTGATTCACAACCATCAGCAACTCTCTAATTTACAAGCAGCAGCAAACTCTCTGATTCACAAGCAGCAGCAACTCTCTGATTCACAAGCAGCAGCAACTCTCACAAGCCCATACCTTACCAGTCTTCCATTAGATTCTTTCTCGTGTTGCCTACCTCTCAGCTAGCATCCGAGGAAAACATGACGCAAACGCCAGCAGAAACATCTCAACAGCCTTTTGCTCAGGCTGCAAACCAGCCGCTTGTAGCGACGCAGCAGAAAATGATTGGTGATATCTTTTCCCGCATTTCTGACGACCTGCTGGGTGTGATCCTTCGTTTTGTTGCGTCTAACGGCAATAGTCTCGACAGCAGTGATTCGCTCGCAAATGACGAAGACAATCTTCAGAAGAAAATTGAGGATGCATTGCAAAAGCCGCCGCCATGCGAGAGCCAGTGGTTAGGCACGACTAAGGTTTCTCCTTCCGATACTTGTTCATTAGTTACGTTCTGCCACGCTCTGGTCTGCAAGCGATGGCTGCGCGTCGCCAGCTCCGTGCATCCCGCCATCATCGTGCCTTGCAATCGCCTCTTCTCCGCACGAGCTTTCTCCTCCCTCCTCGTTCCACCGAAATCTAGGTTCTTGAATCTTAGTCACCTACATCTCGGCAAGTTCGCGTTAGACTCCATTGATAGCAACCTCGTGCGATCCATTTGCACCGGATGCGGCTCGTCCCTGACGCATCTCACAATGTACGTGAACGATCGACGGTTCTCGAGATCCACGCAGCACGACCGTAGCAGAGACCATGAACAGTCGACCAGCCTCGCACCGTCCGATGTCGCCACCATCTTCAAATCTTGCTCGCGATTGGTCGATCTCCAGTTGGATGGCGTTCCGGAGATTCCGCCTGCCATCAGCTGTTTGCAGCAGCTCACGAGGCTCAGCGTGAGGCTAATCGAAGGCGTTACCGGGTTACCAGAGGAGTTTGGCAGCCTCGTAAGACTTAAGGTTTTGCGACTTTTTACTGGGTTTTCGTTTCGTGAGTCACCTAATCCCATATGCTATCTCAGCTCCTTGGAGCGCCTC